GGGGGGGGGGCACGAATTGGGACAGGATGAAGGAGAGAAACAAGGGCGTTAATGAGGAAATAATGCTTAATTAAAGCTGAGAGCTTTCGTCTTTATCTACGCAGTTTCACCATTTTAGCGTTTAGCTTTACCTAAGCACCACCTTTATTGATGGGAAAGTCCCCTACTCCCCTACCCCCTCCCCCCCGCCCTCCCCGTCCCTCTTCCCTGTGTGGTCATGCCACGTAACCATCCAATCCATCCTGCCAATCCTCTCCTCCTACCTCCATCTCCCGCGCCCGGACCCGCACACAAAGCCCGCTACTGCCACCCAATTTGCGGCATCCAGCGTTCTTTGCCACAGCGGGGTAAGGACGCTCGAAAAATTGTTCGCATATCGTTTATGACACGGATCGAGCCGAATCGAATTTTAATAATTCTCTATCCTACTCACTGACTAACTTGCATTTTCATCGAACAACCGGCAATGCAAAATTTGCGACAGTCATACGTGTTAGAGGTAGATTTCAGACGGCTCCTGATGCAGTGATGCCGTCCCATTCGGCGCCTTTTCCTCCATACAGGGAAAGACCATAATATTGCCAGCATGCGTGCACATATTACGCTGTAAAGCAGCAAACATTCGTATTGTTAACGATCTAACTGCTTCAAGTTTAGTGCAAAAACGTGTAATCACGCTGACAAGCCCGATGCGTCGCTATCTAGGTTGTAGTGTCATTTTCGGCAATGTGTAGCCGTGTTTAGTCACAGTTCACGGCTGAGGGCTTGATCTAAACAGTCTTTGATAAAAAGAAATTACAAAGCCTCACCCATGAAGTCAGAAGTAGCAACAGTAGCATCTGTTTACAAGTAGAGATTGTGTACGATTTTACGATCAGCGGCTGTCTACGATTTGGGAAATTTCACAACTCCTAGTGATCTTCGTCCTAAAGTGGTGACATTGATTGTTGCTAGAGAATATAAACGTACTGGCAAGTGATTGTTGCATATAAGAGTAAGTGAAAGTTTTTGAATAATATATCTATAAACTGCGTGTTATCTATGGAGCATTTTCTATCCTACGATGCCAATTACTTGCAGATTGAGTTCCGTTCGAAAAAGAAAAGAACTTTGCTGGAACGACTGCTGTCAATCGCATCACACTATGTTTTAATGAATAAAGTTGTCTCATTGTTGAAGCGTTATCTACATCGTGTCCTCGATCCACAGGCAAGAATTTTATGAGCGCAGTTAAACTACTGTTTTTGATAGTTATTCATAAAAGATGAGCTGGAGGTGTAATTTTTGAAGTTGTATATTTCATGTGTATGTAAAAGTCTTGGTATTTTGCTGTTGTGCCAGCAAATCGATTATGCCGACTCTTTCATTCTGGCTTGACTGACTTTCAAAGAATTTTTCTTATTTGTTCTTAAGGCTGTTTGTGCAGAAACGAGACGATTTTTCTCCTTTTCATCTTGCTAGGTGCGTTAAATTCAAATATGCCTGATGGTACTACAAATGAAATGTGTCACTAGTGAATTGTTTACCTTTGTTGCAGGTTACGTGGAAATGGCTTCGTGTCACATCTGTGCAATCGACTATCGCTATAGCAGCATCTAATCGGAACTTCGATTATGCGGGGAAGTAAGTTTCTTTTTATTCAGTCAGTGATACAATTTGGTGACAATTATCTTAATTCATCACGTCAGAACTTTTGAAAAAGTGTAAAGCAACTTCTTTTCACCTAATTTTTTTAGAACAACTTTTTACATACGGATTGGTACCGAGGATTTCGAGGTCGCGACGAAAGAAGGCCAGAGCATCGAATGTAGAAGAGACGAGGAAATGCTGATCCATACGATTGATATGCTGGTTAACTCATTTCCATTTAGCTCGCTTAGGAAGCTAAAAAACGACTTTAACTGAAAACTGCATATTTCTTTATCAAAGCAGCTTAGTAATAATGCTTCTCTGTCCAGCTCGCTAACGGTCATTCCCGAATCCGAGTTTGAAAATCACTGTCGGCGTCTCAGTTGAAGATTTATATCAAAATTTAAGCGAAGTAGATCATGCGGCCAAGAAAATAGGTTAGATTTTTAGAGGATGTGGCCAACCGCAACCGTCAGTCATGCACTGTTTGAAGTGGCAGAAATAAGCGCATTTGCTTCCAGTTTTTTGAATTTTGCTTACTTGCGAAGATTTCAGATTTGCAGTTACATGTTGAACACTGTAGCAGTGATAGCCAGCAAAATGTGGCAGTGGCAAGTTCTCCACGCCAATAACAATGCAACAAATCATCTCTCGGAACCTAGTCCTACGCTATACATGTGCAGTCAGAATGCGTCCCGGTTTGTTCCTTGTTACATTCTGCTTCAGAAATTTTTCAGTCTTTTTGCTTTTGATTGGCAGGAGTAAATGAAAAATGATTTCCGATAAGGAGCGTCTCAGAAGCAACAATGCTAATCTTCCATTCTGAGTTTTTTTTTTTTTGTGGTTTTGGGCTGCTTCTTTTTATCGGTCATTTATTGTCTATGACGAATTTTGAGGACTTCTAATGCTTCCGACCTTTGGAGCAACTTGAATTTGCAGATTACACATGCAGAGCGAAGGTCCTAATGGGGGTGGGTAGGATGCAGATTGCTAGATAGTGATCTCGCCTCAAAAACAATGTGGCGAACTAGCTCCAGGGAGCCTGTTCCACTTTTAAAAGCAACCTTATTAATCGAGTTCGTTTCTAATGAAATTTTTCTCGTAATTGACTGCATAAAATAATTTTTGTGGAAGATAGCTGTCTGGTATTGCATTTTTCAGTGCTATATTTATGCAGTTCCGTCTGAGGGATCCACCTACAATACGTATTCGAAACTGTAAGTCCGACAACTGCGAAGGCACGGAAAAATCGGGAGAATTTTTGGTTTTGAATTACGACCGATTGATCGGTTCTTCATTGTGTCGAAAAATAGATAGCTTGTGCTCGATGCTGAAAAGCTAACAGCCTCTGGAGTGTGTACAAAAATTCAGAGTGTATCTTTTTTAGAATTTCAGATTCTAAGATTGAACTGAATGCCTGCTTTGTTTTGATAGTTTGATCAGCTGTTGTTTCATCGTCGTATTTCTTCTCGCCGTTGATACATTCGGCAACTTTTCCATTCTGCTTTCTTTTGAGCCGTTCTAGTGTAAATCCATTAACTGCGAGGAGTACGTGCAAAAATTTAGAGTACGATTTTTTGTAAGCTTTCGCCTATGCGCAAATGTTAAAACGCATATTGTAACGACCGTGGTGTTGTATGTTTGTGTGCATGTGCTTGTGTGTGTGTGTTTCTTTGTCCGGGTATCTCAACTCAGTATCCAAGCAAGCTTAATCGCTGAAATTTTGCTAGTGGGTTCCCTGGCCGGACGCTACACCAGGGACGCAATACAAACCGTCACGCCCGCCTGAGTCCTGTATACAAGCACGGGCGGGAAAATTGCTAACTCAGGAACTAGAAAAACTGTGGGGCTGTAATTTTAAGGGAGTTTTCCTCCCCCACGTACAGCTTAATTTCAAATTAGCCTCCAGGTATGCGTGGTTCTTAAGCACAGGCACGCAGACGTTTTGGCGAGAAAACTGCCCACTGAACAGTTAGGTCATTTTCAGTCGGCCATCCAAGCGGGAATTTTCATTCTCCTTTATACAAAATTTACAATGCTTTACGCCAATGAGTACACAAGCTGATCGTAAAGCAACAACCATTCATATAATTGACGACCTGATTGCTTCAAGTTTAGTGCAAAAACACATGATCGCACCGGCAAGCCTGGCGTGTTCCAGCCCGAGTTTTAATATTTTAAGTTCTAAAGCTGAACTGGATGTCTATTTTACTTTGATAGTTTGATCAGCTGTTGTTTCATCATCGCATTTATTGCCATTGTGATACATTTGGTAGCTTTTCCATTCTGCTCTGCTATGAGCCTTTCTTATCTACATAAATCCATGTAACGTTCTAGTGAATAATTTCGCCGCGCTGTCAGTTTTTCGCCTTTGTTTATTTAATATTTGTCGGGCACCATTCAGTCTACCTCATCCATCTGTTTCTCTTATTATGCGTTTTTTGCAGTTATGCAATGCGAAAAACTCACATTGACGAGAGGTTGTCTGTGTGTTTGTTCTGTGTGTGCGCTGCGCGTTTGTACCGATTTTTCATCTCGAGATCCACAAAAACTACGGGGCTGAAACTGTGGGGACTTAATCTGCATGCACGTGCGGGTCCCCATCCCCAAAATGGGCGGCCTTTCCCGTGTGGTGCCCACGTAAGAGCCCACCAAAGTTTTTTACGGGTAAGCTGCTAACCCACGAATCAGAAAAGCTAGAGAGTTGAAATTTTACGGGAATGTTCCCGGTCCAAGTAGGTACTAATGAGCTCAAACTCAACCGCCAGGTAAGCGTGGTATCCGCGTACGGGCCTACCAAAATTTTTCCCGCGTAAATTCATAACTCGGGGTTCTGAGATGCTAGAAAGCTGAAATTTTAG